ACCCTTTCAGAGAGGTCACGACCCTTTCAGAGAGGTCACGACCCTTTAGCATCTTATTACCTCAAACAGATCTTGTCTCATTCTTCTGAACTCCATACAGTATCGGTATAAACTGCTCAATCTCTCCTCATTAGATAAACCCCTCATCTCTGGAATCAGTTTAGTGATCCTTCTCTGAACTGCCTCCAATGCAACCCTTCTCAAGAAGTAAGAGAACCAAAATTTTCACAATACCCCAGGTGCAGTCTCACTCATGTCTTGTGAAATTGCAGCACCATTTCCTCGATATTTATACTCTATTGCTATAGCAATAAATGCCAAAATTCCAAGTCTTCCTTATTAGCTGCTGTACCTGCATACTAGTTTTTTTGTAATTCATGCATGAGGACACCCAAATCCCTCTACAAAGCACTCAGAAAAATCTCTCCATTTAGATAATAAAATTGCCTTTCTATTCCTCTGACTAAAATGGATAACCTCACATTTAGCAACGTTAAACTTCATTTGCTCATTTTTGGCCCATTCACCCTAACCTATCCACAATCATTTGTAAATTTATTTTCTCATTGCACTTACTTTCCCACCTATTTTAGTGGTATCTGTAAATATGGTTATAGTACTTCCTATCTTTGCATCTAAAATCACTAATATGTAGATTGTAAGTAGTTGTGGCCCCTAGAACCCTGTATCACACCATTTTTTCCAGCTGGCAATAAGGAACTAAAGTGTCTCTGCTTTCTGTTCATTAGCCAGTTTTCTGTCCAAGCTAATAAATCACCCTAACATCATGAGATATTAGCTTGTGTATTAACATTATCAAATGCACATTCATTGTATCCAGATAGTTCTCAATCACAGTCAACCAAAAAGCAATTGGATAATCTGCATTTGCAATGGGCCATACCTGGCTAACATTGTTTTGACTGTAGTCTAACCCACCATATTTAATGTGCACAATTCTCAGCATTCCTATTAAGGATGCTAGAGTTCTCAAAGAAGAATCAAAAAGAAATGTCTGTGAAGAAAGGCTGGAAATGAGCAATTTAAATTTTGTATAATTGAGTTTAGATTTCCTTTTTGGTGGACTGCAACAAATCATGGAACCATCAGTATTATTAGGAAATCTTCCCTATACCAGATACAATCATCCTTACTTCAGAGAAAAAGAACAGGTGACCTTATGCAAATAACAAGACAGTACTGTTGCCAAAATACCACTAGATATTTCAGCTCAACAGAAGTGGGTTTTAGCAAGTTAAGAGGAGCAAAAACATGAGCAGCCCAGCGACTGCAGGCCTGGACTGGCAGTCAAGGGGAGGAGAAAGGAGTTGGAGTCCTGGTTACTTCAGAATCACAGAACCAAAACAGGAAACCATTTGGCCCATTGTGGCTACATTGCCTCCTCAAACAAGCGTCATTACCTACTGCCAGTCCCCTGCTTTCTTCCCATAACCATGCACACTATTTCTATCCAAATGATACAAACACTGACGTGTGGAGGGAGGGGGAGAAGAGACGGGACCTGGGCTGGTACAGACACCAAACAGCAGCTGAGGTTGGGAGCAACAGGGTCTGGGCTGGTACAGGTACTAACAAGGAGTGGGATGATAGGTCCCAGGCTGGTGCAGGCTCTGGCAGTGAGTGGAGTTATAGCACACTGACACTGACATTGACACAGATTGGGGTTACTGGGCCCGGACTGGTACAGACACTAACAGCCGCGGTGTGATCTCAATAACAATCCACACGGAAGTAGAGATTTTCTGATGAAGGGTCTAGGCCCGAAACGTCAGCCTTTCTGCTCCTATGATGCTGCTTAGCCGGCTGTGTTCATCCAGCTCTGCACCTTGTCTCGGAAGTGGAGACAAACTGATTACACACCGAGAACGAGCAACAACTCCAGCATCGACGGACCTCAGTGAACCAATTTGAGCGAGTGCAAGTAATACCTTCCTCCGAATCTCACCTGCGGGATCCCGAGCAGTAGCTGTGAAACACTCCAACACTATCCTGTCATGTGACAGGTCATATGATTGTCTCACGTGATCCTACAGTTCTTAAAGGAGCAGGCGCATGCTGGATAATGAGTTTAAGGATCCTCTGAGGGAGGATCCCAGGACTGAACACGTTAAACTCTTGTTTTCTCTCCACAGGTGCTGTCAGACCTGCTGGGTTTCTCCAGTAATTTATGTTGCTTGTTTCCGATCTCCAGAATCCGCAGCTCTTTGTTTTATGTTGTGCACTGTGGATCATAGCTGGTTCTGTATTCTCATCATTTCTCAAGTCATCTAAACTGTTCCTGACAGATTCATTCATCCGATTATTTACAGATTGGGATGCCACATTTTGTCCAATCCACGTGACCAGAGATGGTGGTGGGAGCTAATAATCTTAAAGTTTTTTTAACGGGCATGTCACAAATGGATTTTTCAACCCATGGTGGCTGATTAAACATAGAAACATAGAAGATAGGAGCATGAGGGAGGCCATTCGGCCCTTTGACCCTGCTGTGCTATTTATCACAATCATGGCTGATCTTCCGAACTCATTGGCCTAAACCTGCTTTCACCCCATAACCTTTGATCCCATTTGGCCCAAGTGCTATAGCCAGCTGCCTCTTGAATATATTCAATGTTTTGTCATTAACTACTTGCTGTGGTAATGATTTCCACAGGCTCACTGCTCTGGGTGACGAAATGTCTCCTTATTTCCGTCCTAATTGGTTTACCCCAAATCCTCAGATTGTGACCCTGGTTCTGGACACATCAACCATTGGGAACATCCTCCCTGTATCTACCCTGTCTAGTCCTGTTAGAATTTTATAAGTCTCTACGAGATCCCCCCCTCATTCATCTGAACTCCAGCAAAAACAATCCTAATCTAGTCAATCTCCTCATGTCGGTCTTGCCATCCCCAGAATCAGCCCGATAAATCTTTGCTGCACTCCCTAGAGCAAGAGCATCCTTCCTCAGAAAAGGAGGCCAAAACTCCTTTTAGTTAGTTAGTTAGTTCACAGCAAGCATCAGTGAGGCCATTCAGCAGATCATATCTATGCAAGTCTATGAAATGAATAATCATTTAGTTATCACATCCTGTTGTTGCCTTTGTAGCAGAACATTTTCATTTAATTTACAGAACTACTGAATCTGCAATTCCACCACTCTTCAGACAGCACCTCCCGTTAACAGCTGAAGGAACAGGAGTGCTATGGATTAATGATTGCTGCTCTTTTAGCCAAACAGAAAGTAGGAAAACTGGGTCATTCTTGCAGGCATTGAGGATGCCTTAAAAGATCATTATTTGGGTGTGAGCTGTTCACAATATGTATCAATGATTTGGAGATGGGGATAAAGTAATACTTCCAAATTTATAGATGATACGAAGATGAGTGGAAATGTATCTTGTGAGGAAGATTCAATCCATCAAGCCTGTCTCACCATTCAATATGATCATGGCTGATCAAAGAATTCTTGTCTTTTTATCCACCCCATATCTCCATACACCATCAGTAATCAGAAATTTATCAATCTCGACCTAAAACATACCAAAAGATTGAGCTCCCACAGCCCTCTGAGTAAAAAAAATTCCGATGTAAGTCCTAAGTTGCACTACCCCTTATTTGTAAATTGTGTTCCCTTGTCTCCCTAACTTGGAGAAACATTTTGCTTGCATCTACCCTATCTATCCCTTTCATTATTTTATAAGCTTCTAGAAAACACAGGCCAAGTTTACCCAATCTCTCTTAATAGAACAGCCCCACTATTCTCAGAAACAAGTCCGGTGAACTTTGTTGCACTTCTTTGAAGCAGTAATATCTTTCCTAATGTGATTAGACCAAAATTGCAAATAATACATCAGTGCAATCTAACCAAGCTTTGAAAAAATTGAAGCAAGACTTCACTATTCCCGTACTCAAATCCCCTTGCAATAAACACTAGTATTCCATTAGCCTTCCTAATAACTTACATGTTGGTCTTCAATGAATTATTGACACCTAGATCTGTTTGTACATTGCCTTTTACCAATCTCTTACAATTTAAGAAATATTCTGCACTTATGTTGCTCGTATCAAAGTGGATAACTTCACATTTTCCAAATTATACTCCATCTGCCAATGTTTTTGCCCATTCTGTAAGCGTGTCCAAATCCTCCTGAAGGCATTTTAGATCTTCCTGACAAGACACAGTCCCACTTATCAATTGCAAATCCCCATCCCTAAATCATTGATAGATATTGACCACAGCTGGGACCCAAATACTGATCCTTAAGGCAGCCCACTACTCACAGCCTGCCAATGTGAGAATGTCCTATTTTTTCCTTCTGTGTTTGCTACCTGTAAGCCAATCATTCATCCATGACAGTACATTACTTCCTATTCCATGTGCTTTACATTTTTCTAACCAGTGTCCAGTTGGGGACTTGGTTCTTATACTCTGAATAATACTAATCATGGGCAGAATTTTCTGCGCCAAACAGCAGGAGGATTTCTACATGGGGGAAAGGTTGGGTTTTCTTGCCCGAATACATTCTTTTCAGTTCATTGTGTATGTCTTTAGGGGTAAAATGCCAAAATTAATGCACAATACGTTCTCAAATCTGCCAGGAACTTCTGGGCTTTAATTATCTGCTGCCATCGTTAAAGGCTCCTGGACAGGACTTCATTTTCTGTAACTCAGGAGCATTACTCAACATCTGTTCATCACTCCCACCCACCCTTAGAGACAAGAGATCAGGCTCCATACTTTAGCAATGCCTCCCTAGAATTTTCATGATGTTCATGCTGTCCATGAGAGCAGGGAACTGCTTTAGCCAATGAATGGCAATAATGTGCCATCCCAAATGAGAAGGCAGTCCAGATAGAGGTGGCTGTAGAGGGTTTGCATCTTTGCGTACCTCAAAAGAAACTGGCCCCAATGCCACAAGAGGAAGAATGATCAGCTGCGTTTTGTCAGGGTACATACCAGTGTCTATTCAATGCTTCGTGCTCCTATGCAAGTGAGTTAACATTATAAGATTCCAACTGTAGAGAACTGTCACACAAGAGTTTGGGTACCAGGTATGTCCATTGTCAATTGCAGCCATCAGTGCAGCACAATGGACAGCATGGTGGTATTGCCTCTCACACATCTGCTGAGGTTCACACTTAAAACATAGAAGTAGCTGCAACATTCAGAACTTCACATTACTATCAAGTCAGATGGACTGATAGCGTTTCAGAATTGGAAGTTACTGACATGGATAATGGTATCAAAAAAGTATTAGCTCTCATGTATAAAATTTATCAAAAAGCTGATTTATTAACTGCCTATGAGGCATGGTCAGATTTGTCAAATTCTAAAATAGTGAAGATAGTTCTGTAGAAGAGTGCACGTTTGAATTCATTTGGTATGCAAGACTGCAGAAATTCTATTTCAAAAGATCAGATGTGGGGATGCTTCCTGCTGTTTGTACAGTGTTTAGCATTACTCCTCAGGTACTGAAGCAATCCATGTTTAAATCAGCAAGACCTGGATAATATCCAGGCTTGAACCGACAAATATCAAGTAATATTTGTGCCACAGAAGTGCCAGGCAATGACATCTTCAACAAAAGAAAATCCAAACATTGTCCATTGACATTCAATGGCATTACTGATGCTAAATCTCCCACAATCAACATTCTGAGGGTTACTATTAACCACAGATTGAACTGGATTAGGCATATTATATCATACAGTGTCTACCAAAGCAAGCCAAAGGTTAGGAATCTTGCATTAATACCTCATCTCCTGTTTCTCCAAAGCTATCCACCATCTACAAAGACAAGTCAGCAGTCTAATGAAGTATTCTCCACTTACTCGGGTTATTGCAGCTCCAACAACACTCAAGAAATTTAACACTATCCAGGGAAAGCAGCTGCATGATTGAAGTGTGCACCACCCACAAGATGTGCTGCAGAAATTCACTAAGGTTTCCTTGACAATACTTTCCAAAGCCATGACCAATACCATCTAGAAGGACAAGGACAGCATATACATGGAAACACCATTAACTGCAAGTTCAATTCCAAGCTATTCACCATCCTGACTTGTAAATATAACTGCCAAATCTTCAGTGTCACTGGGACAAAATTCTGAAATTCCCTCCCTAATGGCATCATAGGTCTACCTACGGCATTTGAACTGTAGTGGTTCAAGAAGTCTGCTCGCCATGTCCTTCGCAAGGGCAAATGGGATGAGCAAGAATTGTTGGCCCAGTCAGTGATGCGCTCATCTCACAATTGAATTTTTAACACCTTAATTTGTGCCAGCATTCAAGTTATTAGATAGTGCAAAACATTGAGATTAGATTGACTTGTAATTTTGACAGGTTTTAAATTTTCAGATGAAAACTCTGCTGGAATAAATGTTGGAAACTTTAAAAATAATTGCTTGAAAAAAGATGTCTTTCCAGCAACATTCATGATACGAATGGAGCAATCAGCAATATTATCAGTAAGTGGAGAACACAAGATTTACTGGCTGGCAAGACTGACTAAATACAGGCTAATGGTGACAGTACAAAAAAAGAATTTTAATTGAGAGAAATTAAACTAAAACCTTTTTGTCAATTTTGAGTAGCAAAGAGAATTTCAGCCTCAGAATAAAATAATGCTAGGGTGATAAAAGCTGCTAAACAACAGAAGTTACAAGGAGTTACAAAAGTAAATTGTCTTCAAAATATTTACTCTATTATGTTAGTAACACTTTAATTTCTTTAGAGGTATGCTATTTTAAAGGAATGCAATCATGTTCAGATCGTGTAAATTGCAAACTCACAGATTTTCCCACCGTTATAGCTTTAGTGTTTTACGTATTGAGTTTCATCTGCACTCTTTTCATTGATTGGCTTCTTATTAACAAACATTTCACTGAATATTACATCTGTGCTAATAAAATTATTTATTTGAGCTATTTTACAATGAATGACTATTCTTTTTAAAGATTTTAGTATGTTATCATCCCCAAATCTGAAACTGGTGGAACTCAAATTCTTTAACTTTGTTCCAAACTTTATTACTCAGAGACGAGATGACATTTCACCAATGTATGCCATACATGGTACATATATCCATTGTCA